TGTTAGTACTACACTGCTGGTACAGTTAGTGTTACAATGTTGGTACTGTTAGTGCTTTATGGTTGGTACTGTTAGCACTTCACGATTGGTTCTGTTAGCACTACATGGTTGGTATTGTTAGTACTACACACTTGGTACTGTTAGTACTACATGTTGGTACTGTTAGTGCTATATGGTTGGTACTGTTAGTACTTCACGATTGGTACTGTTAGTACTTCACGATTGGTACTGTTAGTACTACATGGTTGGTACTGTTAGTACTACACTGTTGATACTGTTAGAACTACACTGTTGGTACTGTTAGTACTACACTGTTGTTATGTTAGTACTACACTGTTGGTACTGTTTGTACTACACTGTTGATACTGTTAGTACTACACTGTTGGTACTGTTAGTACTACACTGTTGGTACTGTTTGTACTACACTGTTGATACTGTTAGTACTACACTGTTGGTACTGTTAGTACAATACTGTTGGTATTCTTAGTACTACACTGTTGGTACTGTTAGTACTACACTGTTGGTACTGTTAGTACAATACTGTTTGTACTGTTAGTACTACACTGTTGATACTGTTAGTACTCCACTGTTGGCACTTTTAGTACTACACTGTTGGTATCGTTAGTACTACACTGTTGGTACTGTTAGTACTACAGAGTAACAGAAATTAAATTGTGTTCTAAAAGAAACGACTATACACTCACTTTTTTACTACTTGGTGTTTTACTATAATAATAAACATTTTTCGTTATGCAAGCTAAAGCAAAAAGAGTATCATGCCAGTGTTATCCTCAACTTGATGGAGGTTAGTTTCTATCAACTTAGAAAGGTATGACGTTAAGGTACTTTTCCCTCTCTTTAAACACCGAGTATGGAATGAACATGGCATCCATTACATTAATTACTTGGCTTCACTAAACAGTTCTTCTGTCGTTTCCATAGATCAACAGTGCTGCAGTTTCTATAGAAGAAATTGGCTGACATTTCACAGAATGGAGCTGTTTGATCTTTAAGTTTTTTGTCTGGTATCATTGTTTTTAACAATCATCAATACTTATCTTACAATATAATTGCAAAAGGTTTTAAAACAATAGGCTTTCCAAAAACGATGAAACACGAAAATACTCCTCAGTGATGAATTTCTCATGCTCTATATGTTGTGAATGTAGTTTATACACGTTTCGTACTTTCCATTGCACGTGATGAATTTCTCATGCTCTATATGTTGTGAATGTAGTTTATACACGTTTCGTACTTTCCATTGCAAAACCTATAGTGTAAGGCTATTACATCTAAAGCACACCCTTCCTCCCTGCAGGCTTTCCATAAGCTACTTAGTGTACAAAAACGTCGGTTTTCCAGCTCCTGTTTCAACAGTACAATCATAGAGATTATTCCATAAGTGGTACTTCTCACTACTCAGCTGGTATGTTTTCGTATGAAATAGCAAAAATGTCCGTTTCTATTTTTGCAGTTTTTGAGGTGTGCGGCAGTTGAACGAATATGTCGGGGAAGCAGCTTGTGTACAAGTGACTTGTGTTGCTTTTTTAAACAGAGTTCATTCTTAATTATGATGTTTCACATTGTTACCTGAGGCACGTGGACAGCTTTTGCCATTGACGTTTGTGTTCGTAGATTATCAGTTGTTATGAGACGCCACACATTGCTAATTACCGCTGGGGTAAGACTTGTTGCATGCCTTTTTTTTGGGTGGTCCTGGTACCCCAAATTGATCCATATTCCTTTGTATTCCAATGTCATTAAAGAGAAGGGATATCCTAAATCCCCAATCTGAACAAATCTTTATGATTTGAGTGTATGAATATTTTGCGCCGGAAAGGATTGTTACATACACTTCACAAAATCGATAAATATTTAGTCATCATACTACCTACGTAACACTGAACAATGTCAAAATGTAGATGTGATACATGCCGTTCCACCACAACTTTACGTCGGCTGTGGTTATTATATGACTTGGTTAGTTTCACATCAAAAATAATTCAATATAACATACTCAACCCTTTGTATATATATAAAATGTGCTATATCATAGAAATCGCAGGAACGAATATACCCTAATTCAATGTTCTCAGAAATACAGTAATTTATTCCATGACTTGTTTGTTCAGTCTTAGTGACGTTGTTAACGATATTCTTGACAGTAGGTCCTAACTGTGTTCGTTGTGTTTGAAGGTGTGTCAAAGTAGTATTTTAGTTTTCATAATACTAGTGACGTAGTTAACGGACAAGACGTGATTTCTTAATCATGCTAAGACTTTTTCTGACAGATGAAACGTTTCAGCGATTATTTTTGTTACGTTCGAGCTTGAAAAGGCCCAATGAAAGCTAAGAATTAATTTGAAGTATCATACTGCAAATGAACTGAAGAAAAGTAATACTCCTTCCACGTATTCTAGGAGAAGAAGCGTATTGAAACCAAAACCTATTTTAAATCTCCGAAGAATAATGAACATTACAACAAAACTCTGGAAAGCTGAAATTTGAATTTTGATACAACCCTTGTGAAGTGTCTAACAATTTGGAAAATTACTTATTTATTTCAATTTTATTCGTATAATCTGACTATTCTAACACAATAAAATACTCTGAGAAATAAAAAAAAACAATTAGTAATTGAAGAAACTTCAAAAGTTTTCTTTCAGTTGAATCCTAAGTTACGCTGACAATTACGAATACTCCCAGAGGACTCATTTACATTGTATACATAAGATTTTGAAATCGACCTATAGGTGTCGCCACGTTTCTGCAGCATGAGGCTTAAAACATGAAAGTAATAATTACTATAATTTTAGTGGAATTCTTAGAAAAGAAAAACTAGATTTCACGCGATAGTTGAAATACAGTTGGAATTAAAAGAAAAAGATGTAAACAGACATTGAAATACGTACAACTGACGCAGAAAATTTTATGTGCAGGAAAGTTCAAGCCGGATTTTGATTAAAATATTAATTTATTTCTGTAAAAATTTCGAAAATTATCTCAATTCTCCAACTGTTATTACAAAATAGTTAATTCAGAAGTTGTCTGAGTGACCAGAATATAAATTGAAAGCGTATAAATCTATTAATATTCACTGAATATTCACTGCTCAATTTGTTTTTAAAGACGGTTACAGCAACCCCCCCCCCTTTTCTCCAGTAGCTCAGCGGTAAGATTAAAAGCTTACATAGCAAAAATTCGGGCTTTGAAATCCATGGTGAGTAAAGCAAAGATGGCACATCACGTAGCTTTGTACTTAGCAACAACCAAAGCAAATTATGTCAACAATCAGTATTTTATTATCTATAAAATTAAAACTATAATATGTGAAAACAGTATATTGGAAACAAATTTCGAGAAGCTCTAAATATAAAGATATATAACGATACATATAAAGATACTGCTTTAACATTTTCTACTGCTCAAACCCTTAGCTTTCTCTGCCAATGGAAATAATAAGAGGAAGATAATACACCAATAAGACTAATACTGATTTTGTACAAACTATTAGAAGCTTATGCCTTGGGGATAACTATAACTTTGAAAGTATTTTGCCTATTAAAACAGCGGCATCTGTTGGGCATCTGGAGAAATAGTAGTAGATTTGTCACAAATCACAAACATTATTATTCTACAAAAAGCAAGAAAACTTTACATCGACATTAAAAACAAAACTCAAAACTAGGTTCTCACGATAAACATAAAATACATAAACACATATCTTTTTCGTTAAGTTTCCAAACAGATGTTTGTATGAAATAAACCGAAAATATTATGTAAACGATATATGAAATATTGAATTGATCATAAAGCAAATATTGGTTATAAAAATAGAAAGAAACTACAACTATGATGTTCAGCAGAGAGAGAGATAAATCTCGGTTCTACTAAAAATCATTAGCTTCTTAAAAAGCATGAGGCCCTGGATCTTCAGAAACCTAGATTTCAGACGAAACTTAATATGTTATCCATTCTTCCCTGTGAATAACATTTACTAGTAATACGAAGTATTGGTAATTTTTGATGTGAGGGACGTAACAGCTGTTTATTCACATAACATATCTCAAAATAATTGAATATAAACAAAAATAAATACCCAGAATTTAATCAAACTTTTTAATAAATGAATTAGCAAAACTTCTCGGAATGATTAAATATTTGAGTTAAAATATAAACCTTTAGTTTGAAATATTATACGGATAGAAATTAAGTTTGTTCAACATTTTTAGCTTTTTCCTTTTCCATAGCTATAATCTTATGCAGTAGGTAAAGTCGCAAAACTATTGGAAACTGTTAAATATATGACATTAAATAATTAAAGCAACAGGTCACAATTTTCATCAAGTCAATTCTTGACTGAAATGTTAATTTAGTATCAACTCACCATAAAAAAGGAAAGAAAAAAAAACGTTATTGTTTTTTACGTATGTTTCAGTCAACAAACGATCATTAATCATTCAGTGATTCAATTCCCATGACTGGAATATTGATACTCTGAAGCTGGTTAAACGTATAGGAAAATTACACGTGTGTGTAATAAATTAGACCACTTTGCTCTAATTAACCTTGCATATATTACGCCTTGTTTTGGTCCTGATTTTATAATATTGCTTACGCGAATACAAGATTTAATTTATAGGTCTTGGTTTAGTTTGGGTCTTGATGTTTATAGCAGTGTTTTTATATGTTATTTAAAACTAAAACTGCACATAACATTGTTATTAATGATAATATTTTACTGCAGTGTCTTAGCTTGTATGTAAAACGTAAAGGTGTGTGTTATTTATACTTGAAATTATACATAGTATTGTTAATATTTTGATTGTAATGTCCTAGTTTATGTGTAAAATGTAAAGATATGTGTGTGATTTAGAGCTGAAACTACACATACTGGTTTTAGTAAGTTAATTGTAAAGTATTAGCTTATATTTACCAGTAAAGTAAGTGTTAGCGATACTATGTCACAGACAAATTCTTTTGTTTTTAATTCTGTGCAGGTTTTACCCAGTTGCTGCCTTGCTCCTCGTGCACAGTCTTCAGTGGGTAAGTAGTCTTTTTAGTGTATAAGCGTATTTATCTTTAAAAACAATTGGGCTAATGACCAAGTATGGTCATTCAGAAACACGTAATAAGTGGGAACATCATCTGATATTCATACATGATGGCACGTAAAGAGTAGAAGAGACAGAGATGAAAATACAATATAGAAAATTAGATCATTTGATAATAAAAGAGAACCAAGAGGATAATATTAAATTACATTTGGAACCAAAAGCTGTGAAATTTGACATCTGATTTGAATCACATTCTATAAACCAGAAACCGTAAAATTTATTTTGTGGTTGTTCTCAAATGACTTGAAACTAAAATCTGGAATTCTGTTAAGACAAATTTGCTAATTCTTGCTAGATGTTTTAGCATTCTTTGTCACGTCAACAACCTAAATAATATAGATAAAAAAGATACAAACGTTACAATATCGCTTACCATGAGGCAGAAACGCCAAATCGAAAATCAAGCATCGAAACGCCAAATTTATCTTTCTGTTAGGAACTCCATCTACATTGAACTAGACCACCTTCTGGGTTCCAGAGGTTGGCGGAGAATTTTGTTGTTGAATCCGAGTAATGCTCTTGATTGATACATACAGGCCAAATATAGTGACTAAATTCATTGTCACGCTCTTCTGGACAGTTGTGGACATTATTATTGCAGAGGATTATTGCATTTATCGTTTTGGAAAAAGGCCGTTCCTTGTCCCTCAGTCACTTGAATAAAATAGATAAAAAAGGCATACACGTTAGAATATAGCTTACCATGAGGCAGAAACGTCAAATCCAAAAATAAATTTCGAACATTGTGACCTCAAAGAATTATTGCATTTATTGTTTTGGAACAGATCCTTCCTTGTCCATCAGGGTGGAAACAACGTTCTAGTGAATTTTAAATGTTATTTACCATTTTGAAGGAATCGAAGATTGGGTGAGTATAACTACAAATAAAAATATATATTCGTTCATCTAAAGAAATCACCAGACCTAATCTTCTACACTAGAACAGTTTTCACACCATTACAAAATTTGAAGAAGCTAAAACTGTCGAAACAAAACATGTCTCATGTGGCTTTCTTCACATGTCTTACTTTATAATCAGTTACAAAATGTAAGGCGAAACATGATTTTTCAGACCCCATCAGTCGCTCAAACTCATTGAATACCCACACTTTGTGCTTCACTGATCTATACTTTCTTGTTTCATCTTCGCGTGATAGATTGAAAATAGATGATCAGAGGTTGGTGGTCTTTATTTTCTCCAGCAACAAAGACTGGAGAAATTACCAATTACCAATCTTATCTAATCCCAACCGTGATGCTGTTTGTTTTCGAAACTGGTGTTAAGCTAGTTGCAACAACAATTGTCTCTACCTGAAACAAATTAATGACCTTAGCAAAATTATTTCTACACTAAACAGTGAGGTTAGTGTGGCTGAACAGGAAATGAACGGAGTATTATTATGTAGGTTGTTTCAAATATAATGATTCTACCATTTGAATACCTAATGCTTTCAGTGACACAGGTTTTATGTACACTTACTTTTTTCTATCTTACCTAGGTTTTATAAAATACATAATTATTTGTCGTTACATATAGTTCAAGGGAATCAACTTATTAATTTACTATTATAATTGATTATTCTTAAATTACTATTAATTTTTCAAGACAACAGAAGTGTTCAACAGATTCAGTGTTTACTGTAGTCCCATCTTTAAGGGGCAATCTAATCTAAGTACAACATCTGGTAACGGAGAAAGGCCAGTAAAGTTTGATTACAGCATCTGTTAAAGAAGAAAGCCCAATCTAATCTAAACATAACAACTGTTAATGGAGAAAGGCCAATATTATCTAAGTACATCTTTTAACGGAGAAAGACCATTCTAATCTAATTACAACATATATTAATGGATAAGCGCCAATCTAATTTAAGTACAGCATGTTTTAATAGAAAAAGGACAATCTAATCTTAGTACAGCATGTTTTAATAGAGAAAGGCCAATCCAATCTAAGTACAGCATGTTTTAATAGAGAAAAGCCAATCCAATCTAAGTTCAACATCTAGTAACGAAGTTTTAAATACTTGTTTGTTTTTTAAATAATAATGTTATAATACTAAACGTAAAAATATTTCAATATGAAAGATTCGTGGAACGTGAATATAACCGTCTTTCATTTGTTGCTTATAGTTAGTATTTATGAACAAAGACCCAGGTTTAGGGTTAAGGAAACCCTTGTCCTTATTTTGAATGTGGGAAACAATATCAACCGAATAATAAATAAAAAAGCTCATATTATTGTTTCTGAAACATCAGCAAAATAAACGTTTCTTCTACTTTTCACGTCTCATCGTAGGAACCTACAGGTTCGAATTAAGATTGATATGAGTAATGCTTCTCCACTACAAAGCATTTCAGTACTGAAGATTGGTATTATCACGGATACTTTCTGGTACAGAGGATTGGCAACATCGCTAATACTGATCAGGAACTGAGGGTTAGCTGTATCACTAATACTTACCAGGAACTGATGGTTAGCAGTATCACTGATACTTGCCATGAACTAAGGATTGGCAACATCACTAATATTTACCAGGAACTGAGGGTTGGTAGCATCACTAATACTTACAATGAACTGATGGTTGGTAGCATCACTGATACTTACCAGGAACTGAGGATTGGTGTTATCAATAACGCTTACCAGAAACTGAAGATTGGTGGTATCATGGATACTTACCATGAACTGAGGATTGGCAACATCACTAATATTTACCAGGAACTGAGGGTTGGTAGCATCACTGATACTTACAAGGAACTGAGGGTTGGTAGCATCACTGATACTTACCATGAACTGAGGATTGGCAACATCACTAATATTTACCAGGAACTGAGGGTTGGTAGCATTACTGATAATTACCAGGAACTGAGGGTTGGTAGCATCACTGATACTTACCAGGAACTGAGGGTTGGCAGCATTACTGATAATTACCAGGAACTGAGGATTGACGATATTAGAGATACTTACTAGGAACTGATGGTTGGTGGTATCACTGAGACTTACCAATAATTGAGGACTGACAGTATCACTAATAAATTGAGTTACGAAACATTTGATTGTGTTTAGAATATGAAGACGATGTCATAATTTGGTTCACTTCACCAGAGACTATATTCTGAGTTTAACATATTGATCGAAAATACCCAATCATATTTCACCTTTCCTCCCGTTAACATAGGTACTTAATAAATGGGTTTATCCATTTCCAATATTTTGATACAACATATCTTATATGTTGGCCATGTGTGACATTTAAAAGTATGCTCGGGACATTTAGGAACAGAATTAACGAACACAACTCTTACATGGATTGGAATTATACCAAGCTTTTCTTTGGGGCCATTTGACAGGCAGTTAACTTCACAATTAGTCTAAGCTATTACTGATCTGATTATTTGCGATGACATATATCTTGTACTCCATTGTTTGCGTCACAAGAAAGTACGTTATTTGACCTGTTATCAATTTTCCATATGCTAATAATCACCTAGGTGTAGCTTATAAAAACTATTTCTATAACTTTGACTAGTGTAGCGCCCAATCGAATACAATACTTTGGCCCCGATTTAGAGTAAAATGTCACAACACCGGCAAGAAACAATGCATGTTTTTCAGTGAACGAACCAGAGTCTCTTAAATCACGCCTTCAAACTGCATTCAAATCACTGTTATACTTTCCTCTATCGGTTTTTGTCTTATTGTTTTTGGAGATAGTTATATGAAAGTTACAAAATTTTTTAGATTTAATTATTTATTTTTTTTACTTAAATATTTTAACGTTCTATTTGATGTGAAGATTTTACCCATTATACGACTTTGTATTTGATGTTAAGCACAAAGCCACGCAATGTGCTTATCTGTTCTCTCTCTCTTCACCATGGGTATCAAAACCCGGTTTTTAGCCTATAGACCGCTGTGCTCCTGGGGGCTTCAGAACAAAATAAATTTTATTCAATTATTGAATTAGAATTAAAATGGTTGTGGGGTTTCGGGACAATACAAGTTATCTTGAATTAGAATTAAAATGGTTGTTGGGAGCTTCGGGACAAAAGAAATTATTTTGAATTAGAATTCGAATGGTTGTTGGTAACATGAAAGTGTATTCAATACCTTCCCACAATTTAGTCTAAGAAATGTACTTCAAAGATTTTACAATGTTCCAAAGGATTACTTCTTACTTAAAACAAACCTCTACCCAAGAAAGCAGGGAAACACAAATCATTATTTCGATCCTTTATCATCAACTGAACGGAGGTTGGTACCCACTATTTTCTCTAACAAATCTCTAACCTTTTGGGTTAGGGCTTGCACTTCTTTCTAAAATCCTTCCCTCCCTCAAAATAAATACGTTGTTTCGCTAAGGAGTGGGAAGTTTCTGTTCATACAATCAGTGCGATATTAAGCATTGTATGGTGATCACCTACATATGATTGATAATCTTAAGCAATAATAAACAAAAAAGCTTATAAGGTTTAAAGTTTTGTTTCTCCCATACTGCTCTTATAATATTGTCTTAGAATATACAATTTAACGGAAATTTAACTGTAAAAATCCAAACCTATTTCCACAAGGTTTTTGTAAATTTACACTTTATCACTGTCATCTCCATTTCTTTATGTGACAATTTAGTATTGTGTAATTGATAAATCCTTTATGTGTATTATACAATATTTATCAAAAGTTTGTTTAGAACAATAATAGAGTGTTAATGTTTCATGCTCTACATCAGATTAGCTATAGTTACACAATTTTAACAAAGTTTTTTCTTTGGTCCTGAAATAACCTGTACTTCGAGATAACACTCGCTGAATTGTGTTTTATGACAATACTAACTCTCTTAACTACTTGATTATGTTTTGATCGTTGTATTTGATAACAATATTGACTTTACTAACTTCTTGATTATGTTGTGATCGTTGTATTTGATAACAATA